ATGTGTTTATGGGTGTGTGTGTGTGTGTGTGTGAAGTGCCTGTGAAGTGTCCGGGCGATGTGAGCCGATCTGGAAGATTGTATGTGCGGGTGTCGATTTAAGAGAGGGCGGTTTTGCGGTGGGCCAGGCAAATTGAGGCCCGTAATTTATGTTCGGACTGCTTCAAAGCGGCCGATAGTCACACCAATTCGAGTCCGGCTGAGACCGCCGAGGCCGGCCCACCTCTCAGCTGACCTGATCGCCGTCTCGAGGCTGCGGATGACCATAAAATTGGGCAGTCTTGTCCGGCCGGATGGGAATCCATCTCGTGCAGTGAAGGGATCAAGACCCAACCAACAAAATGCTGTACACGCACAACCCTCACGGACAGAGAAGCCTGCACCGATACCCTTGACCGACAGACAAACATACAGACAACAACCCGCTCGCTCGGATGGAAGTGGCCACCAACCACGTGGCCGCGTAAGACCCCAACTTGACCGGCAACGGTACAAGTTGGGATAAAACCGCACACGTGGAAGCGAGGCCGAGATACACGCGAATGGGAATAGAATCCATTATTCATGTCGTCTGATACGATCGTTTAAGCACTTTGCTGCTGCCCATCTCTCGCCCCCTTCACACAAACACACACACACACACACACACTTGCACACATGTAGACACATACTCGCAGCGACGACTTGAAGAGGTTCATCAGCGGTCGCGTCCCAACCCAACATCTGGGCGGCCATTTCACACCGACTCATCGCGATGGTGACCGGGACAGACGAGGGCGCTCCACTTGATCCTGACCTGCATTCCCCTCGTGGTCGCTTGTCTTTTCTGCCGTCCACCAATTTCCCACCTTCACGCAAGACCCCACTTGGGCCTCGGGGAAAAGCATAAAAGTGTTTGCCACAAAAACCCACCCAGCCTGGCGTTGGTAGAGCAACGCTTTTGGATGGTTGGATTGGAAAGTGGGCGGGAGAGATTAACACACTAGCCCCACAGCTGTGCATGTGTCTTGACCGTTGTCAGCCACGCGAAGGAGGCCGGGGGCAGTGTGAAAATGTCAGTCACACGACACATGGACGAAGGGATGTCCGGCCAAATCATAGGCCACTTGTTCGTGTGGGGCCAAAGTGACCACCCCCACAGCTACCGGTCAATTTTGTCCTCTTACCCATCTACACACACACACACACACACACACACGCACACATCGCACCCCTCATTCGGGATTGTCACTCTT